TCATTCATGGTTCGCTTCACATAGATCATCACTGCTGAGATAAAAGTAGTACGGGTCATGTCCTCACAAACCCGGCATCTCCTGACAATAGCATGAGCAATGGCACTAATCCTGTCTTTTGTTTGCTTCTTTTCTATGAGCAAGCGTCTTATCTGATCGCTGCACGTCTTTAAAGCTCGGGAGTCTTGCAAGTGCTAGTCTTGCAGCTGTTGCACTTCTGCCTCCATTTGGGCTAACAAGTTGTAACAATGTCCGCTCTCAATTTCAAAGTCTCTAGCCTGCCTAACCGCTCTACCTTCAAGGGCAACTACGTTTCTCTTTAAATTGGCAACAATTTTCTCATGANTATATATATCCAAGATAAAATAATACGGGGCAAGGAATAATGAAACTATGTTTTTTATATGTTAATAATATATCTAAAAAAAGCAAATTACAGAAAGCTGTGACGAGAAAAATAGATTTTATTCAACTCCTGGTAACAAAGAATGAGATGTACCAAATTCCTATATCTATGACTAGCTAGACATCAAATATATCAACAGTAAATACTATAGTGAAAGAAAAAAAAACACTATATGTATTACAACGAGCCATCAATCTATCTTCTCTGCCCATTTTGTTCATGTCCTCTCACCTCGAATCCTCTCGTGTCTCATCATCTTGTAATCCATTGATATGATTTTCAGCATCAATTCTTCCTCTCCTCGTATTAAATCTACTTTCTTGTACACCTAGTTGTTCAATGTTCCTCGTTAGAGCATCTGTTTGTTGTCTCAACTCCTTCTCGGGCAACTTGTCCAAGTCATTCTTAATAGTTTTGCTTCTTTTTAATGACGACATTCTTACTTTTGATATAGTATAGATATGTCAAACATAAACCACTGCAAATACAAAATTAAAAGAGTTAGACATAATTTAATGCCTAACAGATGGTAACTTCTATACAAACTAAAACACCATATATAGATAGAAAAAAAACTACACTAGGTTGCTTCTACAACGTGAACAATTTGTTTCTTTTCTTTAGTTCTTGCACGTAGATAATGAGCAAAACAAGTCAAGAAAAATTCATGTATACGTTAATGGGAAATATATGAACTTAAAAACAGAGGAATTAATATAAATTAAAGTAACGCAACTTACGTGAAAGAAGACACCTCTATTCCATTATTGTAATTCTCCGTACTCGATCGAGTTATGTCAAAGAAGGCACCTCTATTCCATTATTTATATAGATACCGATGTTTTGATTCTTTCCTCTCTTTTTTCCTTCTGTTCTTTTTGCCAGTTGGAAACAGTACGGAGAATTACAATATTTGAGTGAGGATTGAAACATTACTGAGAATTACCATATTTGAGTGAGGAAAAACTAAGTAGAGAGGAGAAAAAGGAAAGTTTGTAAAAGTAAAAAAAAATATGAAAAAGAGAGAATCATCATTATAGTATCTTTTTCGTGCATAATATTATATTTTCCTTTCTAACTGCTGTTTTCAATCTTATTTTGAGCACCAAAAGCCAAGCCTTGAAAAGTAGCTTGTTCTGAGAAATTCTTCACGTAATTTGGGAAATACAATTAATGTCAGACCAATTGTATTTATGTTACATAACCTACTAATATAATTAATTTTTTACACTATCAGTATAATTTAACATGTAATAATATATTAATTACTGTTAATTATATATTATGTAATAATTTATAAATGGAAGAATTGTAAGCCATATTGTGTTATAAATTACATCACACCCCTTAAAATGCGTCCCTATTCCGGGACCCTACATAAACACGGGATATGTTGTGCACCAGACTGTTTTCTTATTGTGTTATGAATTACCTGTCCTTGATATCTAGTTGTTTCGTCTTACAAAAAATAAAGTATCAGCGCTCATCTGTTGTCGAGCAGTACGGTACTCACCACATTTTTCACAAACAAAAACACAGTACGGTAAACAAAAGCAGAAGAAGCAGTATATGTTTGGTAAATTTTAAGTTTATATTTGGCTAAATTTTAAATACTTTGCAAATGCTGGATATTTTTTCAACAGTAACCCTGAAACTTATCAGTGGTGCAAATCGCCCACACGTGCATTGGATTAGTAAAAATTGCATGGGGCGCCCGATTTGGTCGCCCCATTTAACCTATACTCATTTTTTTTAAACGTTTAAATTATACCCACTTTTTAAACAACTTCAGCCCTCTTTCTCCTCCTCAAAGTTTTATCTTTTCTTTTTTCTCCCTATCTGATTCTTTTTATTTCTCCTGTGAGTCCTATAAATTTTCACGCCAACCTATACATCTGAAACAACCAATTTGCTTTCTTCGTCACTTCCTATCACGTGACATGCATATATATATATATACACACAACTGACTTGGTGATTTGTTTGATTAATTATTACTCGTAATTACCTAATCTGGTAAGTAGCAGCAGTAAAAGTCATGAAACTACTCATTTCTCTGAGGATATTTACAGTGTTTCGTGGATCCTATGCAAAGTAAAGAATCTAACACAGTTTGCAAGTTTGTGGTGCAGTGTTCTCCTGCTGTCTCTAATTAATTTTCTTTCAGTTTGGTCAAGATGGTGTAGCAAATGAAATTATAAACAAACAAAAATTTCAGCTCTATAGCTGAAGTTCCCCAGTTACAAAGACAAAAGAGCTGAAGTTTCTCAGTTACAAAACAGCTTACAAACAAAAACTTCAGCTCTAGAGCGAAGTTCGACAGTTACAAAACAAAAACTTCAGCTCTAGAGCTGAAGCTTACAAACAAAAACTTGCCAGTTACAAACAAAAACTTCAGTTCTAGAGCTGAAGTTCGACAGTTACAAAACAAAAACTTCAGCTCTAGAGCTGAAGCTTACAAACAAAAACTTCAGTTCTAGAGCTGAAGTTCGCCAGTTACAAATAAAAACTTTAGCTCTAGAGCTGAAGCTCGACAGTTACAAAACAAAAATTTCAGCTCTAGAACTGAACTTCAGGCCCGGCTACTAGAATGCTGAAGTTTTGCGTGATTGTCTTTGCTACTTCAGCCCCGTATGCTGAAGTTATGTGAAAAAGCGGGTACGCTTGCAATTTTTTTTGCAAAACGGACACAAATTAAAACGTGACACAAAAAGCGGGTATAGATGCAAATGCCCCATTGGATTATGCTTGCGCGTTCATCCTCCTTGAATTGTACATCTTTAAATCTTCTCTATGTTTGAGATTGAAAAGAATAACACTATGTATAATATTCGTTTACTGTAGAATCTATAAAGGTGAGTATAATTTGAATAACTCATTTTCTAATATTCCTCAAAGATTTATTGTTGTACTGAAGAAAATGCTTATTAAGCAAAAACACACTTGTACTTCCACGAAATTCTGTTTCCAGTGAAACATTAGGAATGTGTAACAAAATTCTCGTACTTGGTTGTAAAAGCTTTGGGCATAAACTTGCGAATTCTGAGACTTGTTCATCTTATGCGGTTGCACCAGCCACTGGACTAGCGGCTCTAGTTTAATTGTACGTGCATAAACTTGAACTGCCTCAAATTTGTGTCGGCCAGGTGTAAACCCTATCAACCCAGGCCAAATAGCCAGATTTGCAGGCACACACACTAACCAGAGGAAAAATTAAAAAATTAGAACCATTACTTCTTTCCATAGGCGGATCCAGGATTTTGGCAAGATGAATGCAGATGGGTACACTATTAAAATGAGGTGGAGCCAAAATATAAATTTTACGGGTTCAACCTTTAGTTCTTATGATTGAGTACCCATTGCAGTTTTGGAAGTATAAGTTCAAAATTATTATTTTTAAAAAATAATAATTTTCTTACATATATGTCTATTTTTCATGTTGAAAATATTGAGATCAGTTGAACCTAGTTTTAATACATTTTGTTTAATCATATAAGATTTTACAGCGACAAAAGAAAAATAGGAATTTCAATGAAAATTTTGAAAGAATAAACCAAACAAAAAAAGAAATAAAAAGAAAAAGAACTTAAAAAATAACACCAGACATGTCCACCTCTCGGGGGAGTCTACTTCTAGAAAAAAAAAAGGAAAAAACAACAAGATTGACATAAGATTTAAACTCACAACATCACCTACAGATGTACACCCAATAACCATCGCATCATATAATACTTTGAGCATGGGTGCACACACATATATTTAAATATTTTTGAAAAAAAGTATATCACTACTATACATGATTTAGGGCGGGGAGCATGGATTCATGTGCCCCATGAAACCCCCCTAGATACGCCCCCTGCTTCTTTCCTCTCTTTTTTTTTTTTCCAAATAATGGTGGTGTCCTGCAACAACATCAACTATTTTATCGACACAGATACTAGGTTTTACCTACTAAGTTTTAGGCCAGATGTGAAGAAATTACCTAATGTCAATTGTCTCTACTGCATTTTGAACCTTCATTCTCTCATGGTTTCACACACTTCATTGAATGTTGGAATATACACCTAGGTGCAAAATCATTAATATGAGATGAAAGCCAAGGTGTCGTGCTTCCTGAAATGCTTCGCAGCACCACTCATAAGAACAACATTAAGTTAAGTCTATGAACACCACGAGAAACACAATCCCTCTTGAACAAGTCCATGAAAGTCTGATAGATCTTGCATAAACCAGAAGCAAGTGTAGATAGGTCTTGCATACAACAGAAACAAGTTCAGACACTAGTGCTGAGCTAATTTATCTATGATATCAGAAAGAAGTAGACCATTGGGAGCTTTCTGGAAGGCAGTCATGATGGAAAGGCATAATGCAGTTGGGAACTGCTGCATCTGTTTGCCTTGCACTAACTAAATGAACGCCTTTTCATCTTTCTTTTTTTCTTTGTTTCTTGCAGCTTCTCCAGGTAGAAAACACGATTAAGCAAGGATGCCCTTGAAAAATACAGACTCTAAGGGCTCGTTTGGTATGAGAGATTAGGTATATTAATCTCAGGATTAAATTTGAGATGAGTTTATTCCATGTTTGATTGGAATAAAATTGTGGTATAACTAATCCCCGGATCAGTTATCTCGGGATTGCAGTGTTTTTTTATCCCTATGAGAGGGTGGAATAACTAATCCCAGGACAACTAATACCGGATAATTAATCATGGGATAACTTATTTCTCAACCAAACGACCCCTAAGAGTCCTAGCCTCACAACACCCACTCAAACAATAAAAATAAACAAAAGCGAGAGACAACTAGTAACTTCAAAAGTCAATCCTGATTCATAGATAAAAACACCAAAACAAAGACAGGCAACGGAAAAAATAAAAGAAAATAATGAAAGCATAGCTTGAACAAAGATGGAATGAAGTCTAAACCCGAATTCTTCTTTGCAGAAATGGAAGCCCAAAGAGAAACTTAGCATCGGAACTAAAAAAATAAATAAGAGAGAATATGTTCAAAAGTATAACCTGAACAAAAATGTATGTCTAAAACACTTGATACAATTCTATGCAGAGGAATGGAAGTCCAAGTGAATTTCAGCATTTGAAGCAATGAAAAAATAAAAGACAATGATGCAATCTATACCTGAACGAACAAAGTCGGAATGGAAGCGTAAAACTCTTGTTCACAGAGGAATGGAAGCCCAAATGAAATGTAGCATCTGAACTTAACTCTGAACCTTCCACATGATACAATTCTTTGCAAAGGAATAGAAGCCCAAGAGGAATTAGCATCTAAACTTTTAGCCGTAATAAATCAATGTATTTTTTCTTAAAAGAGTCAATTGTTACTACATGACGATACACTTTTGTGTCACTTATGAAAAGGTATGTATATTAACAAAGCAAATGACAGGAAGAATAGGTTTCTATGTCTGCAGATAATAGACATCTAAAAGGAATGAGACAAAAGTGGTTGGTCACTGTGAACCATGCAAAAGAACACAGCAAATTACAGGATATACAAAACTCAGATGCTCCAAAAGGTGAGATTAATGCATAGCTTATTTCAGATTGGACCTCTAACTCCAAGTCCAGAATTACATGAGTTTGAAGGGCAGTTTACAACATGTAGACACACAAGACATGCAAAGGTTTGATGCACGAAAGAAGATCAAACCTGAACAACCAGTTCCATCATAAGAACAACCAAGTGCTAGTTGTAAGCTGGTTATGCCAGTTTCACTTGTTGACTGATAACTGGGTCAGCCTTCCTTTCAGTTGCCTCAACTTTATGGTAGTTCACTACAGAGCATTAGATATTATAACATGCTTCATTTTGGATAGTGTTTATTAAGTATAAACACAATTTTTTTATAGTTCTGCCCTTGTAAAATATTTCTCAAATTGCTTAGACAAAAATCAAGCACCGACACAGCATTAACAATAAGGAAATCTAAGGAAGATAATTTGCTCGACAAAATGAAAGAATGGCAACTTTTCACAGTGTCACCCAAAAGATGATTATTTCTCCGAAAACAGTCTTAGATGAGAAAAAAATAAAAGAATGAACATACTTTCCACATCATTGCTCAAGTAGATAAGTATGACTACAGTAAACAGTCTTAGACTTCTCCTGCACACTTCACTATGTTGTTTCTTTCAATCATATGACACACCATGCATTTTATCTACAGTTCACTATGCTCAAGGAAAGTTATTTAAACAATTGAAGATCAAACACAGGGGGACAAAAAATCCATATGCAGATGGAGCGATATGCGACAGATGCTAGTACCATACAAATTTGAGGTGTCTTGAAATTGGAGCTTCTCTTAGGAATCCTGCAGTTTAATGCTCATTATCTCGATACGAGTCTCCATTCAGTAAAGTAAGCCTTATATCTACTAACTCAAGTCTTTCATGTTGCACTAGATCATTCCCCTAGTTTGTCACCTGTGAAAAGGAAGGAAATAGGATACTGAAGTTTGGAAAATGGAGGAATGTATTTTGATTTCAAATATGAGAAACAAGGACTGATTGCTTCAAAGAGTTGATGGTTTCTCATAGGAAGACTCCCTCTATGCTTCTTCATCTACGCGGATGGGAAATCCTTTAGTCACATACCAAAAATATAATCTATGGAGACGGGAGACAAATAATATCGAGTTACATTATCTCAGGGTCATTTCAGGATGCCGAGGACACTAGAATCAACAAAAGGAACAATTTATGCATTAGACAGGACACTTTATCAGCTCAAGATTTTATAGCAAGTAAAAGCTACAATTCCAGGATAGGTCCAAACTATTGGTCTGTGCCTTGTTAATGTAAAGCAAAAACAATGAGGAAGCAAAAACTACAAGAAGATAGTTTTGGGCATAACCGGTCCAAGTATTGGTAGTGCGTCTGTGTTTATGTATTGGTCATTTCTGACAATGACTTTTTTGCTAGTCAATTTCAGGAGGCTAAATCTTTCTGGTGGAGATCATGTGCACACTTAAGTGATCATAACCAGCTCAAAAAACAAATAATCATTCAGTAAATATATATAAAAATAAGAGAATCATAGATGATCATAAAGTACTACTTTCCGAAGCATTGCAACGAATTGTATAGAATAATTTTTCAGAAGTTGACCAAAGCTGTAGGTAAACACCTGAGAGATTGGTTTCTGCACATCGAAGCACCTTGGTGTCTTAATTTGACTTGAACAAAATGATGGTTGTTTTATTGAAGACGAGATTCAACTTTCTTTTATGTGTCCCTTCAACCTACAAGTCAGAAAGTTTACTTGTCGTCTTGATGATTTATTAGCACAATCTCTTGCAAGACGACTCTTTATCTTATATAAACAAAAAGGAAAAAAGTATATATTCCATGTCAATTAAGCAATAAACAAGCAGAAACTAGATCAACTAAAGCTATGTATTGGCATCTACAGATGGTGGATTTATGAAACTTCTGGAGATGCTACTAACCAAAAAATGAGTTCATAGTAGCATGCGATTCTTCATTTCATTTTAGGGAGAAAGATAGACTTCAAGCTTAATCTTTTCCACAGCTTGCATTTTTTTTTTTTTTT